TAGTAGTGGTGGTGGTGGCGGTATAGGGATGCTAGTAGTGGTAGTAGAGGGATGCTATTAGTGGTGGTGGTAGAGATGCTAGTAGTAGTGGTGGTGGTGGTAGAGGGAAGCTAGTAGTGATAGAGGGATGTTAATAGTGGTGGTGGTGGTAGAGGGATGCTAATAGTAGTAGAGAGATGCTAGTAGTGGTGGTGGTGGTATTGAGATACTAGTATTAGTAGTGGCGGTAGAGAGCTGCTAGTAGTGGTGGTGGTGGTAGAGGGATGCTAGTATTGGTAGTGGTGGTAGAGAGCTGCTAGTAGTGGTGGTGGTAGAGGGATTCTAGCAGTGGTGGTGATGGTAGAGGGATGCTAGTAGTGGGAATGGTGGCAGAGAGATGCTAGTAGTGGGAATGGTGGTAGAGAGATGCTAGTAGTGGGAATGGTGGTAGAGAGATGCTAGTAGTGGTGGTGGTGGTAGAGAAATGCTAGTAGTGGTGATGGTGGTAGTGTTGAAAGGGAGGTGGTGGAGCTGTGGTAGGCCTATGAGACTTGACCAGCACGGCCTACGTCCGTGGGCCTCGCCGCTGCAGGTTACCATAGCGACGCTCCCCTCACTCAGCCTATGCAAGGGGAGAGAACAAATCAATTTCCTAACTTCACTAACCCCTCTTTTTGCCCCTCTCTCTCAAAATCTTCAAGTCAACTCTCAGCTGCACTTTACTAGTCTTAGTCAAGTTAAGTCATCTACACTCTGCTGTAGGGTTTCTACGCTCTTGGTTATCTACACTCTTGGTTATCTATACTCAAAGTTATCTACACTCTAGATTGTCTACACTCTAAGTTATCTACATGAAAGCTAAACGCGATCAATCAGAGCATTATTGAGGCTGGTGGCACTCTGAGGCTGTCCACGCCCAGCAGGTGGGCGTGAGGCTCTACCTAACATGTACCTAGTACCTGCCTTCAAGAATACTTTGCTCCTCCACATTCCCCCCCCCCCCCACTCTCTCTCTCTCTCTCTCTCTCTCTCTCTCTTTCCTTCTTTCCACACTTGCACATCCCTCCTTCCCCTTCCACCTATCCCTCATCAGTTTTTTAATGAAAACTGTCTCAAAATCTTTGATTTAGTGTGTGTGTGTGTGTGGGAGAGAGAGAGAGAGAGAGAGAGAGAGAGAGAGAGAGAGAGAGAGAGAGAGAGAGAGAGAGAGAGAGAGAGAGAGAGAGAGAGAGAGAGAGAGAGAGAGAGAATGTTTGCACTCCTTAAAGCACTATCAATATTCTATACGTAGGGGAGAGGAGATACCTGATAATGCATACATGAAAGATTTTTGAAGGTCAGGTCCCCAACCCGCACACTGACATAACTTACACTCAGAGGAAGACATAAAATAAACCCATTGAAAAGCAGGGGCGCCACGGGCACAATAGAAAACTCTGTATAAACATCTGACACCCAAGACTCACCTAGGTGCTATCATCAGGTACCAGAAATATTGGCAAAAAAAGACGTACAAAACTTTCAAGAGAAAATCTGGACCAATATCTCATTACAAGTACCTTATCGTACAGCTTTGTGGTGGCTATGGGATCTACAGAAAGGCAGTGTCCTGGCACCTCTGCTGTTTCTCATCCTCACAGTATACACACACAAAAAACACCAATCACAGTTTTGTTTCATCATTTGCAGATAACACTAAAATAACCATTAAAGTCACTACAGTAGAATACACTGAAAAATTGCAGGAAGATAAAATCAGTGTTTTCCAGTGGGCAGTAGATTATTATTATTATTATAATCAAGGGGAAGCGCTAAACCCGGAGGATTATACAGCGCCTGGGGGGGGGATGTGGAAGGCATTCAGGCTTAATTCGGGGAACTGGAGCACAGATCCAATTCCCTAAATCAAGAGCCCCTCACCAACATCAAGGAACCTTCCTTGAGGGGAGTGGGCAGTAGAGAACAACAACGTTCAGTGGTGATGAGTTCGAGCTGCTTAGGTACAGAAAGAATGAAGAACCCAAAAGAAACACAGTATACAAAACTCAAGAGGATCGTCAGATAGAACGAAAGGAACATGTGAAAAACCTGAGAGTATTATGTCAGCTGATCTTTCTTTCAAAGAACACAATATGCCCAAGGTCACGACAGCCCGGAAGATGGTGGGGTGGATAATAAGAACTTTCAAAACAAAGGAAATAATGCTAATGGTGGTATTTTTCAAATCACTTGTGCTTTTCATTTGGAATATTGTTCAGGGCAGGAGAAATATCAGAGCTGGAACATATACAGAGATCGTTTATGGCCCGAATAGAGTCAATAAAGCATTTAAATTACTGGGATGCTTTAAAGTCTTAAATATATACTCACTTGAGCGGAGGAGAGAGAGATATATATGATAATATATACTTGGAAAGTATTAGGGCCTTTTTCAAGTTTGCACACTGCCATGACAACATCCTGGAGTGAGAGATTTGGAGAGAAGTGCAAAATAAATTCAGTAAAAAGCCGGGGTACCGTGGGCACAATAAGAGAACATTGTATCAACATCCATGGCCCCAGATTATTCAACATCTTACCAGAAGATAAGTATCTCCACCAGAAGCAAGATCAATCAGGCAGTGATGGATATGTGGAGCTGTGGGCCACCAACAGCAACAGCCTGGTTCACCAGGCAAGCATCAGGTCACAGTGGTCATCTCACAGTAACTACATATCACTGACTACCTCCACTTCAGTGACAGTAAACTCGAAGTTATACAAACATCAAACAGTGTCAAAAACAAGTGTCGTAAAAGCCAGGAAATGACGGGGAGGATAATGATGCCACTGGTGATGCTCAAATTCCTGTGCTTTCTCACTGTTCAGTACTGACGGCTCCATGCAAGGCAGGAGACATCAGAGCTGGGACTGATACAGAGATCGTTTATTTCCTGCAGTGAAGCAATAGCATTTTAGCTACTGGGAACGCCTAAACTTACTGAATATGTATTCCTGGAGCAGAGGAGAGATGCATGTTATTATGTATATGAAAGATACTTGAATGCCTTGTGTCTAACCTACACAGTACTGCAACAATTTGCTGGAGTGAGAGATGTAGGAGGAAGTGTGAAATAAACTAAGCAAAAACCTGGGGAGCTACTGGAACAATGAGAGAACAATGAATCAACATCAGTGGGCCACCAACCAATAATAGAAATAATGCTGAAACTAGTGTAGACATCTTCAAGAAGACAATGAATCACTACCTCTTGGATGTGCCAGTTGTGATGGGTATGTGGGCCAGCGGGGCATCAGCAGTCTGGTAGATCATAAGAGCTACATAAATGCCTGTGCCCCAGGCCAGGCTTCAATAGTAGGAAAACTTTAGAAAAAAGCAGTCATAGGTACATGACAGGCGTGCACAACCCAGGACAACATGGGTTTACAGCAGATCATTTCTGCCTCTTGCATGTGCTGGGCTACTTAAGTGATGGTCTTGGATGTACTGAAAGACAAATGACATGCCTATGTAATGTACACAGACTTTGCAAAGTCCTTCAAGAAGTGTATTCAAGGTGCGATACAAGACAGGAAGGTAAACTAAGGCAGTAATATACTTTGTTCAGAACAATGTTTATTTTTTTAATACATTACTCTCTAAACATGACTTTCTAAATCATTATCTGGAACATGGGATGACGTGAATACAGAGAAAGGCGAGGTATATTGGTGTCACCTGCAGCAAGTGTTGGTGTCACCTGCAGTAAGTGTTGGTGTCACCTGCAGCAAGTGTTGGTGTCACCTGCAGTAAGTGTTGGTGTCACCTGCAGCAAGTGTTGGTGTCACCTGCAGTAAGTGTTGGTGTCACCTGCAGTAAGTGTTGGTGTCACCTGCAGTAAGTGTTGGTGTCACCTGCAGCAAGTGTTGGTGTCACCTGCAGCAAGTGTTGGTGTCACCTGCAGCAAGTGTTGGTGTCACCTGCAGTAAGTGTTGGTGTCACCTGCAGCAAGTGTTGGTGTCACCTGCAACAAGTGTTGGTGTCACCTGCAGCAAGTGTTGGTGTCACCTGCAGCAAGTGTTGGTGTCACCTGCAGCAAGTGTTGGTGTCACCTGCAGCAAGTGTTGGTGTCACCTGCAGTAAGTGTTGGTGTCACCTGCAGCAAGTGTTGGTGTCACCTGCAGCAATTGTTGGTGTCACCTGCAGCAAGTGTTGGTGTCACCTGCAGCAAGTGTTGGTGTCACCTGCAGTAAGTGTTGGTGTCACCTGCAGCAAGTGTTGGTGTCACCTGCAGTAAGTGTTGGTGTCACCTGCAGTGAGTGCTGGTGTCACCTGCAGCAAATGTTGGTGTCACCAGCAGTAAGTGTTGGTGTCACCTGCAGTGGGTGCTGGTGTCACCTGCAGTAAGTGTTGGTGTCACCTGCAGTGGGTGCTGCGTGTATCCCCCAATATAAATTAGTCAAGCTGCCTTGCGATACAACACTTTATGACTTTACGATGTTCTTGTCAGTGTGAACGTAGTCAGCTTCTAAACATCACATACAAGTGATGTTCTCCACAGTGAGAATCTGCGTCTACCCAGACCCTGGCATGTCCATTTTTCTGCTTATGAATAACACGAGGTTTTTAGAAGGATATATGTTTTGCATGTGTGTTGTGTTGGAAAACTCTAGCGTGAAGGATCTTTGCTGTTCCCCAGATGTACGAGGAATAACTGACTTGACTCAATATACAATAGTAACAACGAAAGCTATCTCTGTAAAACAAATGATAAACCCGTATGGGTTATACAGAATGATCCCTGTTGAAGTCTTCGGGATGGGTGGACTACATGGGGAAGGGGGAGGGGGAGTTGCCGGCCTGCACAACAACTGTGACAAGGCTCTGGGAGCAGACAAACTGTGGGAACTCATCAGAGGTAAAGGTATCAAGGGCAAGCCTGTGTTAAAATAATATACTTTGTGGCAAAGTAGAGTGCTTTACTTTTCTGCGTAGTCCCATTATGGTTCGTGATAACAGCGTTTTGTTTGTGTCATTGCAGGGCTGGTGGGAAGCGTGGTCCCCGGCGCAGAGACGTGTGCTGTCATGAAGGAGGGTGGCGAGAGTGACAAGGACCCAGGCACCGCCGCCCTCACCCACAAAACGGGCGGCGCCGACCTGGGCATCAGCCTGGGGGCACATCTGGGGGCGAGCCGGCACCTGGCGGGAGGACACCATCACCGTCACCACCACCTCGGCGGCGGGGGTGGCCTTGCGGGGTTCCCTGGCCTGCATCACCCGCTGCAACTGGCCGCACTCTCCTCGCAGCAACAAGCAGCGGCCGCCGCTGGCATGCTCTACCCATCTTTACTCGGCGCCAACCTAAACCCAGCAACGCTGATGGCGTCTCTGGCAGCGGCTAGATCGAGTCATCAGTTCCTTGGACAACCACCTTCAGGACCACCGCCTGGCATGGCCCCAACAACTACCACCCTGGCCAGCCTGCACGCCACGCTGGCCGCCGCAGACACATCCCGCCAACGAGACCTCCTGGCCACTATGGCCGCTGCTGACTCTGCACGACAGCGCGATCTTCTAGCAACCCTCTCCAAGCTAGCAACTACCTCAGCCAACACATATTTACCTCACCATGACTCTCCAGTCAAGCCAGATTCATCTGCGATGGATTCCGGAAGACACGGAAGCCCGATGTCGCCAGCATCATTTTCTTCGTCCAGTGGCCTCGGTGGCTCGCCTTCCCTTGCGCCGCCCATCACCCATCCAAACCTTGTTTGTGCCAACATGGCCGCCAGTATCACCACGGGAGGACTCGGGTCGGAGACGCCATCTCCCACGGCAGGCTCGTCGCCTCCTGGTAGCAATGGTCGCCTTGATCTTTACATGAGCACTACGCCTACGCGAAAATCATCAAATGGCCGCCCAGATCGAATTTTTACGTGCAAGATTTGTAATCGAAGCTTTGGTTATAAGCATGTGCTTCAGAACCACGAGCGGACTCACACAGGTGAAAAACCATTTGAGTGTAAAGAGTGCCACAAAAGGTTTACGAGAGATCATCACCTCAAGACTCACATGAGGCTTCATACAGGAGAAAAGCCTTACCACTGTACACACTGCGACCGCCAATTCGTCCAAGTCGCCAACCTTCGACGTCACCTGCGTGTTCATACAGGAGAGCGACCGTATTCCTGCGAGTTGTGCTCTTCCCGGTTTTCAGATTCAAACCAGCTCAAGGCTCACATGCTTATTCACAAAGGAGAGAAACCATTTGAGTGTGGTCGGTGTTCGGGACGGTACAGACGGCGTCACCACCTCATGCACCACAAGTGTCCAAATGATCCCGAAAATGACAGGCGATTAGACACTATACAATATAGCGAAAGCGATACCTACTCCTTGGGACCTGAAGATGATGATGATGATGAATTCAACGAGGAAGATTTGCCTCCCCCAGCGACGCTACTGGATGATGAGCCGCTACAGTTAGAGAAACGGCGGGAGAGAAAAAGTCGTGATCCTCGTCGAGTGATCAGTCATCCCATGAACGAAGTGATGAGCAGTGTTCGTCTGGTGGGCACGGCTCACCTGCTCCGTGGCTTGCACTCTGCCTTGCCCGAGCAAACAGAACCCGAGGATTTGAGTGTAGCTGGCACTCGCGGTCGCAACAGAAATTATTCGGGCATGTCGGCTGTGTCTAGCGTGTCGGGGTTCCCAGTGAGTGAGCTCGACTACTCTCGGGATTCGCTAAGCGCCACCAGGGAAGACGACGCTAGCGAAGGCGTCGGTGACTCCAGGTTCCCACGACAATGCGAGGACGAGGAGCCCATGTCCTCGCAGACGTGAAGAACGCCAACCCTTCTCCAGTAGTTCGTCCTGACACAACGACTCAACAGAACCCTCCAACCAACCTTTGGAGCGCCCTACATGCACACGCCCCTGTACGCCCACGCCACACACCGCCAAGGTGCTGTGTGCCACCTACGCCCTTCGCTTGGCGCCTCTTGTTGGAGTTGAAAGATTATATATATATTGGGCGCCAAGCGACGTGCAAGGTGCCGCCCCTGTCCATAAATATTCTGAAACGTTGCCTTCCACTTTTCTTCTTTTTGTAAGTGTTTTCAACCGTTGATGCGGGAGATGAGAGGCCAACCTCTGCTGTCCTACCTCTCTGGCCTCACACACCAGTACCCAACCCGCCAAATTCTCAGCCTGAAACTAATCTGACGATTTTCTAATGATATCTCCGATGGAGAAGATTCGCACCCCGCGGTCGCCCTTTTCTAGACTGTGATCATTTTAAAGGTCTCGAAGCTCTTTATCCACAAAAATCGCACACATTTTCAAAAATATTGAATGAGGAGAGTCGAGTAAACAACTTTCCCGACATAATTTGACTCAGGGTGATCCCAAACTGTGACTTTAATAACATAATTTAGAATCAACTCAAATGTTGTCTGGTGAAAGAAGGATTCTCACGCTTCATCCATAACCCTCTCCCCTTCACACACAAGCACAGGTATCTAATCTCCCATAGGCAGGCACATACACGTATATACAAATACACAAGCGAGGACCGATGAGTCATGTACAGTGGTTGTTGTACAAGCTGCACTGATACACACATCATGTGCAAGAAGACACATACACACTTATGATTTTTCCTTTAATGCATAACTCGATACATACCCCGCCTACACATACACATACTCTCACGATTTATCTAACTTTCTAATTTATTGTCCAACTTCTACTATTATCAGTATGTATGTAAATTTAAGATCTTTAATATTTTAAGTATAAACGCGAGAATTATTATTATTATTATTATTATTATTATTATTATTATTATTATTATACTCAACATGGGAGGTTCCTTGACAGTGGTAATGGACGTTCGACCTCAACTAGGTGGTAATCATGCTCAGTTCAAGGATGGGGAGGGTAGATCGAACTTCTTGGATCGAAAGCACTTTACGAGCAGCCAGGCAAACCCTTTGAAAGTACATTGAGAGTCAAGTGCCGGAGACTGGGAGGTAGGTAGTGTGGTGACCCCTCAAGTCTACAACCACAGTGTGTTCGTACGTAGCATCATCACTGTTAATAAAACACCATCACTGTTAATACCACACCGTCACTGCTAATACCACACCATCACTGTTAATACCACACCATCACTGTTAATATCACACCATTACTGCTAATATCACACCATTACTAATACCATACCATCACTGCTAATACCACACCATCACTGCTAATATCGCACCATCACTGCTAATACCACGCCATCACTGCTAATATCACACCATCACTGCTAATACCACACCACCACTGCTAATACCACACCATTATTGCTAATATCACACCATCACTGCTAATACCACACCATCACTGCTAATACCACACCATTACTGATAATACCACACCATCACAGCTAATACCATACAATCACTGCTGATACCACACCATCACTGCTAATACCACACCACTGCTAATACCACATAATCACTAATACCACATAATCACTACTAATAACACACCATCACTGCTGATACCACACCATCACTGTTAATATCATACCATCACTGCTAATACCACACCATCACTGCTAATACCACACCATTACTGCTAATATCACACCATCACTGCTAATACCACACCATTACTGCTAATACCACACCATTACTGCTAATACCACACCATTACTGGTAATACCACACCATCACCGCTAATACCATACAATCACTACTGATACCACACCATCACTGATAGTACCACACCATCACTGCTAATACCACACCACTGCTAATACCACATAATCACTACTAATAACACCATCACTGCTAATACCACACCATCACTGCTAATATCATACCATCACTGCTAATATCACACCATCACTGCTAATACCACACCATTACTGCTAATATCACACCATCACTGCTAATACCACACCATCACTGCTAATACCACACCATCACTGCTAATACCATACAATCACTGCTGATATCACACAATCACTGCATACAAAAATAAATACCACAATCACACTGCAGCTAATACCACATCACTACTAATAACACACCATCACTGTAACACCACACCATTACTGGTAATACCACACCATCACTGCTAATACCACACCACTGGTAATACCACATCACTGCTAATACCACACTACCACTGCTAATACCACACCATCACTGCTAATACCACACCACTGCTAATGCCACATCATCACTACTAACACACCACTGCTAATACCACACCATCACTGCTAATACCACACTATCGCTGCTAATGCCACACCATCTCTGCTAATATCACACTATCATTGCTAATACCACACCATCACTGCTAATACCACACCATTAATGGTAATACCACACCATGACTGCTAATACCACACCATCACTGCTAATACCACAATATCGCTGCTAATACTACACCATCTCTGCTAATATCACACTATCATTGCTAATACCACACCATCACTGCTAATACCACACCATTGCTGGTAATACCACACCATGACTGCTAGCACTACACCATTGCTAATACCACACCACTGGTAATACCACACCATCACTGCTAATGCCACACCACCACTGCTAATACTACAAAATCACTGCTAATACCACATCATCACTGTTAATACCACACTACTGCTAATACCACACCATCACTGTTAATACCACACTACTGCTAATGCCACACCATCACTGCAAAGCTCTCGCTTCATACGTTGAATGTCCGGGTTCGAATCCCGGCAAGGGTGGAAACATTAGGCGTGTTTCCTTACACCGGTTGTCCATGGTCACTCAGTAAAAATGGGTACCTGGGTGTTAGTCGACTGGTGTGGGTCGCATCCTGGGACAAAACTGGCCTAATTTGCCCGAAATGCTCTGCATAACCAGCGGCTTTCAATATAGTAGTATGTCATTGATGTCAGCTAGGACTGTATACCTTGTACATGTACTTGTAGGAATGAAGATATTATATTATTATAATTATATCACTGCTAATACCACACCATCACTTCCGATACCATACCTTCACTTAATACTACACCACTGTTAATACCACACCATCACTGCTAATACCATTCACAGTAAATCAATAATAATAATAATAATAATAATAATAATAATAATAATAATAATAATAAACAATAATAGTGGACACATTCTATAACTAAGTGTTGATTATACTGTTGTTTTTATTTTCACCTCTGTTTCCAGACTAGGAGACAGAACTGTTGTTCCAGCGGCCGCAAGGCGCCTACCTCACAGCCTCTCTCTCTCTCTCTATCGTCTCGCATCCATTAATCTTACGTCATCTGCGGCCTGGCTGCCTCACCTACCAGGCCTACACCCAACTCAGATTTGCAGCACCGGCCTCCCCCGCTCCACAAGAGCCGCCATTGTTACCTCCATACCCAATGCCCAGAACCTTTCATCCCATAGCCTCGAGTTTATTCTGGTTCTGCTGGGCACAAACTCTGTCGTTACTTTCACTCTCCGCTCCTCCGTCTTGTTATGCCTAGCTGGTCGTGGAGCAGCGGTGGGAAGGGGAGAGAGAGAGAGAGAGAGAGAGAGACAGAGAGAGAGAGAGGTGTCTCACTTTACAGCCACTGAATGGTCGCTCAAGTAAATTTGCACTACCATTTGTTACCCAACCATGGCCTTGGTGAATTCTGGCCCACCATTGTGAGTGGGAGTTTCCCTTCCCTCTCTCTCTAACACATGCCATGGGCATCAAGACTATGCTACAGTTACTCCTACCATCAACACAAACATATTAGAATATTATCGGGACCAGTGTCTGGATAATTAAGAGGAGTAAAAAATAGGGACCTTGTATTTCTTGACTATTGTGGGTCATTCCCTGGGACTTTTTATACAAATGGATAACATAGTCCTGTCCTGCTAGAAAAATTATTTTGGTCAAAAAGTATCTAAACAACGCGATGTAACTAATGAAAATGGTTCCTACAAGTGACACTAGCTATAGTATCTTCTGCCTATGGCCTCGTGATCATTATAATTCATCATTTTGATGAATGTGGTGGATTAGCACGGTGAGCAGTGATATGTAGGTGGTGTGGGCAGTGATATATAGGTGGTGTGGGTGTTGTTATGGTGTTAGTGGTAGTGGTGTGTCAGCTAGGGAGGGTAGAGTAGGCATCTCCACAACACACACAAACAATAGGAGGTGGTAGTGGTGGTGGGGGAGGGCGGTGTGTTTGTGCGCTGCCAGAGAGAGTAAGCTTCGCTAAATGACTTTCACATGAGGGGCGTCTCACCGCTGGACGCAGTAACTTCCTGGTACCTGAGATCGCCAGGTTTCTTCATCTTTCACTACTTATTTTTCATAGCACTTTACCTACCTCGCACTTTCTCCTTCATTATCTTCTCTTATGATCTTTCTTCATCATTCACGTTTTTTTTTTGTTATACTTTCTTGCACGAGGAACACTAATTCACTTGTTTTATTCTTTGTTGCAATATCAAAATTTCACTTGCTTTATTTTTCTGTTGCTCGAGAAACACACACACACACTAACGCTATGAAACTGTCATAAATAACTCAGGTAAAGGGTATCAAAGAGTCAAGCCGAAATTAATGATGCTCTGCCTTTATATATATATATATATATATATATATATATATATATATATATATATATATATATATATATATATATATATATATATATGTCGTGCCGAATATGTAAAACTGGTCAATTAGCAAGAACTCATTTAAAATTAAGTCCTTTCTAAAATTTTCTCTTATAAGTTTAAAGATATACTTGTTTCATTAATGTTAATGTAAAAATTTATGATTTTGCTCCAGAAGAATCTTAGAAAACTTACCTAACCTTATTATAGCAAGTGAAATTTATTTTAGCCTAATCCAGCTAAATATATTTTAAATAAGTTTACAGTAATTTAATACTAAACAAACACAATGAAATATATTTTTTTCGTTAGGTTCAGAATGATTTTGGCGAAATTATTGCATACACAAATTTTCACTTGTCCTATATGGCAAGATGAGCGTTGCTATTTAAGCCAAAATCGCAAGTTCTGCCTATTCGGCACGCTATTTGCACCTGATTTCCTTGATACACACACACACACACACACACACACACACACACACACACACACACACACACACACACACACAAGAGGTCCCATGCTGGGTGTGTGCGGTCTTCCTGATCCACCTGCCCCCAGTTTCTTGTTAACAGTGATGTTTCTAGGTCACGTGGTCCCCGTAGAGACGTTACTTGGTCCCCGTAGAGACGTTACGGGGTCCTAGTGGAGACGGTACATGGTCCCAGTGGAGACCTACGCGTTAATATTTTTAATACATTTAGTTAGACTATTTCCTGGTATAATTTATAAAACGGTGATACTTGTCAGAGACCGTCAGATGAGATACTTTGTGGGATCTGGCGTATTCTTGGGCCCTGGTGCGTCAGTAGGGTGTAAAGGCCAATAATTAGGTTATACTAGTGAAGACATTGCAGTACCTGCAGCCATCCGTTCCAATTGTGTAGTTCCTAGCCTTGTGGGCCTACTCGACTCAGTGTGATCCAGGAGCACCCAGGGTGTAGTGCAGCTGATCATCGTCCGACATAAGTGGCTGCACTTGGGGTCACCCTGGCATACACTGTGGTACTGAGAGGACTTACAGGCAACGTGTGACCTGTTCACGATGGAGGACAACTCCACTCAGGATAACTCTCCTTCAGGACACTCATGTATCTGTTGTTGCTCAGGGATGATGAGGGTGTCTTTCAACAGTCCTCTCTACTTCCTCTCTCATCACTTCTCCCTAGTAGCAAGGGGACGTTCCCAGCCTCTCGTCTCAGGAGTGTGTGCAATATTATATAAGACTTTATATCGCTGGGGACGTCCCACTTTGCTCGTGTTTTACTCCCTCCTCGTGTAATCACGTTATAAAGTAAGATATGAGAGGGGGCACATACTCTCCATGATGTGGTGGGTGGGCGGCGGCATCAGCAAGGTGTTCGCCTTGGTGGACGACACAAGAGGGCAATGTGCAATACTGGGCGTGTTGACGTCTGCGGGTGTGTGTATGAGGGTGCCTCGCCCGGTGCCTACAACACTACCGGTGAGTGAGGGTGCCTCACCCGGTGTCTACAACACTACCGGTGTGTGAGGGTGCCTCACCCGGTGCCTGCAACACTACTGGTATGTGAGGGTGCCTCACCCGGTGCCTGCAACACTACCGGTGTGTGAGGGTGCCTCACCCGGTGCCTGCAACACTGCCGGTGTTACAAGCTTCACAGTCCTCTGCACTACCTACCAACACTCAACACCTTCACTCTGCCAACTCTCTCAAGAAACCAATGCTGATATTTCATGCTCCTAAATGCTTCCAGTGGTCAATATCAGCTTTTCAATAAGAAACTGAACGAGTTCTTCCTTTTGAGTGAGACAAAAAAACAAACAAAAAAACAAGTGGATAACGATAGAACAAGCCCAGTTGTTGTCCAGTAATGGGCTTATTAATGTCTTGGTTAGTGACCAGTGACCAAAGGCGTCGATATATGACTTATGTTCTCGGTGACGTAACGAGACGAACTTGGTGATGGTGGAAGTGTTGAAAGAGTCACAGTAACCGGTCTTGCCACAATATTAACTGGTAGTGACTTACGTATCTTACACTGAGGACACTCACACATTCAGGGATCAGTTTGTCTCCAGATTTTTTTTTTTTTGTATACTGGGAGCAAATTGTTGTAGTGGTGCATTTTGTTTTATGATTATGGTTTTTATTTGACATTGTTTTGGCAAACTCTGTGTGTGTGTGTGTGTGTGTGTGTGTGGTGTGTGTGTGTGTGTGTGTGTGTGTGTGTGTGTGTGTGTGTGTGTGTGTGTGTGTGACAGCTTCCTGCAGAACTTGACTGATGTTATTCAAGTTCTCCTACAGCAAAATGAAACTTTAATAATTTAAGTTAAAGTTG